TTAATTTTATGTGCATGGATGTTTTTGTCTGCCTATCTCTATACTATGGGTTCAGCTGGTGCCCGAGGAAGCCAGAAAAAAGGCATGAGATCCTCTGGAACTGGAGTTACAGATGGCTGTGAGCCACCATGCGGGTGAAGGAAAGGAATTGGGTCCTCTGGAAGAGTAGCCAGTGCTCTTCCCCCGAGTCTTCTCTCCAGATCCCACCTTCATCTTCTGCCCACTCCTTATTTCCTGGGCTGGGATTACTGGTGGGTGCCACCACTCCCTTTTATGTGGTGCTGGGAACCAAATTCAAGTTTTCTTATGTGCTAGCCAAACAGTCTCACTAGATAGCCTAGAGTGGCCTCAATCTTGGGTTCCATTCTGCCTCTGCCTCCTAAGTGACAGGATTACAGGTGAGTACCACATGGCTTACACACACACACACACACACACATACACACACACACACACCTACTTTAGATGTGTGGAACAGTGTCAGGAAAGGTGATCTGGTATTTTCTTACTAGTAAAATTTTTTGGCATCTCAAAAAGTAACACTTTTTGCGGGAAAAATATCAAATCTTAGACAAACAGGTATAAATAAATAGTCTAAAGCAAAAAATACTTTCAACAGATAGAAAGGGTTAATCCAAACCATAATACAGCCAAAGGGAAAGATGGATTGCTAATATGCCCCCCCGCCTTTTGCTCCTAGCAAGCATGCACACATCTCTTCTTAGTAGAAGCTCTTAACACTGTTAAAAGTCTCTTAAAAATTAAGAATCTTCTCTACACCCCTAAAATGAGTACAGACAATTTCACATGCAGTTTCCAGGTTGCTACCCATTTCTTAAAACCTACCAATGAGTTCCCAGGGTCCCAAGCTCCAAGATAAGAAAAAAACAAATTTTACTCTTTCTTATCTGTATTGTATATTTAGACAAAGCATATAAACTGAATTTTTCTCTGCCTTTCCCACTTAGCTCCCTACCAACTTTTCTTCTTATTTCTACAGCACATATATTGGTCAGAAATGGATTAACAGGGGCTGGAAAGATGGCTCAGTGGTTAAGATCACTGGCTGCTCTTCCAGAGGAACCGGGTTCAATTCCCCGTACCCACGTAACAGTTCACAACTGTCTGTATCTCCAGTTCCAGGGGATGTGACACCTTCACACCAATGCACATAAGATAAATTTAAATAAATTATTAAATAAATAAATTAACAACAGCATAAAAGGAGACCAAGTTTGAAGTTGTATACAGAAAGTTTTGCATGGTTTACAGACGTCAGGCAGGAAGCAAGGTACAGGCTCAAGAGCTTATTATGTTCCACATTGTATTACCTACCTA